TTTTAATGTGTCGGGAAAAAAAACAAAATAATTCTACATTGATTGAAGATTTTATCTTCAGAGTTCTAGGTCAATTTATTAGGCACAAAAACGGATACCTAAGACAGCTCACCTCTTAATGAACCTAAACTTTTCACGTGTGAATATTTACGGTGAGAACAGTGCACTTACCCAGCTAGTGCCCCAAGAGTTTCTTACAATAAATGCTTCCGACCGATCGCTATATCCAACAGCAAGCATAGCATGTCTTTCAATAATTTTAAAATCTTTTGGATTTGGCCTCGGTACAGCACCTTCGTTGTCATCTGCTTGCCCAAATGATTGTGTCAGGTTCAATCCAAAAACAATTGGAAAACTTTGGGCTAAACATGCTTTCATTTCGTCTAAATTAATTTTGACTTTTAATACTTCTACTGCTTTATATCTTTTTGCTTTTTGATAAGCAATTTGCGTTGATTTCGTATAGACTAATTCTGTATTATAAGGCCAATACTTTTCTTTGCACGAACCGTATACTCCAAGTACATCCAGTGCAGTTGTTATACTAACAGCAATATCTTTTTTCTCTTGTTTTATCCTTTCACGAGAATTGTAAAAAATGAAAAGTCGGCTAACATCAACCTCTTTTCCATTATGTCGTTTGATATGATATTCATAGGCACCTACAACACAAACATCGTTGTAAAATGAAGTTCTGATATGACAAATCATCAACAAAGCAATTTATTTTTACCAGCCAATGCATTGGGGACACTAGAACAACAAAAGAAACAAAAGTCATACATTTCGCCGACCACAATAATAAACATCTTTAAATGTTGTTATGCAGACAGCATGAGTGAGTGATTGAATGGCTTCAGTATTAGCTTGAGACAGTCGGAAGAAGAAGTACTACTTCCGCTTTTGGGTGCCGGCAACTCTGTTTCAGAATCCCCTTTGTTATTTATCAGGAACCAGTCTGATATAACATCTAGACTATCGGCCTCTTATGAGGCTATTCGAATCTAGTCTGGCGATACCGCTACTGATTACATCTGGATTCTTTTCTAAGATTTTTCCGTATAACCCACATCGTTTTTAGCCTTGGATCAGGAAAAACATTATCCTTAAGAGCCAACGAAAATAAAGCTCATAATTCAAGGCTCTACGAATCGTAGAATATCGCGGGAACCAAGATGTATATATAGTCAGGCTACTACCGCCCGTGCATGTGCGAGCATGGCTTCAGTGCTAGCTCATCAACAGTTTATAACAAGATATGGATACAGACTAATCGTCTTG